CTCATTCTGATTTCCTTTTTCTCACTATGTATACTCTTGACATGTATTTTGCCTTGTTGGAACCAGGAAATCATCAAAGCACTTGCATTCAGCATTTGTGTGCCTGAAGATACAGATCAGACATCCTCTTATACTTTGCGGACAGGTTCATTTGCAACGATAGAGCTAACTCCTTCACTACAAAAGACACTCTTGGGATTTGCTATCTTTGTTGTAGTTACATTTTCAGATGATAGTCACAACAATGCTGGTCTTGGCGTTAAGTGTATAAGCACATGGAAGTCCAAGAAAAGGGTTTCTCGTAAAGTAGAGAAAGTTTTTAGGTGTTGGGGTCCTAGAGAAGCTCCTGAGGTTCAAAAGGATCACATGTTTGTGTTTTATGAGGATGCTGAAATGCATCGAAATGATGGTGGAGGAAACGAATCTAACATTTTCGCTGATCACGTCGAATTCGAATTCCAAACAGTGAATGGAAGAAACAAGGTTTTAAGAGGTAATTGCATTGTGACAGAATGTGATGTGTGTGTTATAACAGGTGCAACCGGTGCGGCGAGTTTGAGTGTAGTAAGTGCAAGTAAGGATATGAGTTTCAGTAAGAAGCATTCTCCGAAGCTTTCAAGTGTGCTTGGTAAGCTTCGATTTAGACGTACTGGGAGGTTTGTTGGTTGTGTTTGCCTAGAGTAAGGAAAAGTAAGAGAAGAAAAAAGAGTGCATGTTTGTTGTCTCTTGTGCACCCAAAGATGAATTAGCCGAACAATGTTTAAGTATTTGTGAAATGTAATCCTAAAAAGAATTATCGACTTTTCAATGTAATATAGTGTTTGTTGAATGAGAAAATGATTTTCAAAGCAGTTCAACACGAACGAGACTTGGAAGCTGCTAAAGCACGACCAGCCACGAATGGAATGGTATCAAAATATGCTTTGCTAACGTGGTTAGCTCTTCGCAATCGGCTAACAACGGGTGCTCGAATACGGGATTATATCGTCTGTGGGAGACATGAAGAAACTCTGCAACATCCTTTTTTTTGCATGTCAATTTTCAGCTCAAATTTGGGGGACCTTGATGTCGAGATTTCTCAATGCGGATTACTCAACCGAGTGGGATCGCTTGGTGCTGCTTCTTCACGCCTCAAACTATGATAAGCTCAAGCTCTTTCTTTTCCGACCAATCTCTGGCTCCAACCATCATCCGTTTTGTCGACAAAGTTGTACGCAATCGTATAAGTTCCATTCGAATTGCAGGGGATGATTCATATGCCGAAGGACTGATTATGTGGTTTGGGACGCGAAATCCATAAGAAAGAGAGTTTAGAAGTGGATTTGTCTTAGTTTTTGAATCTTTTTCAGTTTGAAATCACATTATTTGTAAAAACGTTTTTGATTGAATAACAATTTAACATTCATTC